ACAATAACAACTGAAAGGAACCCATGGAGGGTGAAGAAATATATGTCAGTTCAAAGCCGTTCGACTTGACTCCAGAGACGTTGCGAAAACTCACCACTTCGTGGCAGTGCTTCGCATCAGGACGCCATTCTACAGCTTCTTTGAATGATGGCGTCCCTCCAGTCCCTGCCATCCTGCACGAACGATTTCAACATAAAATTTGATCAATAAGAACGACATAATTAGTCTCGTTCTCAGAAAAACTACAACAAAGCCAACAATTGTCAGCCATTCAAAGCCAGAGAAATAATTCAACGGTTTCACACCAGTCATATTCACATAGGATTGTCAATGTAACATTTATTTCACAACTGCAAGCATAATAAATCTCACAATCTCAACAACTGAAGATAACAATAACAACGATGTAACAAGAACGAAAGAAAAATGATAAAAGTGAGTCACAATCAGTAAATGATCAATTTGTACAAAAACAACTTTACGCCACCGTTGCTCCTGTGTACTTCGCCTTTTTGACAACCTTTTTCTTCTTCTTTTTCTTTTCGATCATCGATACTATCCTTTTCGCATCTTCGTCCAAAGGCTCGTCCTTTATTTCGAACACCTTCAAAACATGTGTGTGTGCTGTCCATGTGTTTCCTTCAGTCCAATCCCAATCAAAATGGGACCTTTTTTTGAAATCGAGCCCACACCTGCACCTATCGCTGTGCCTCAACATGAAGCTTTACGCACAAAAAAGTAAAAAAAAATGCGTGCATGTCTATTTCTGTAAACGGCTTATAATTCCAATCTTATTGATCTATAACGTCCTCTCTCTATGTAGAGAAGGTAAAAGTCCTCCCAAAACCTTTGACGTTATTCCCTATTTTTTGTTTCCAAGGCGCAAGCTGTGACTGAATTTGCAAGGTTGGAAAATAAAAAGGCCTACTTAGCAGAATTTTACAAGATAAATACCTCTCCAACGGGATCTTCGACCTTCTCAGCAATCACTTCCTTGATCTGTTGCGCTTTGGAAAGTGCAGCCTGAAGGCATGTAATCAGATTCTCGCATGTTTCTTATGTCGATAACGATTCTTGAGAATGTAGATCAGAACCTCATGAAACCCACCTTTTTCGACAATTGTTTCTCAATATATTTCCCTTTGCTGAGCAATTTGATAGCTCTTCGTTTTGCATTTGGACTTTCGTAATCTGGATTGTCGTATAACACTGCTCCTTCGAAAGATCCGGCGAATATTCGTATAGTTTCCAAAACGAATCGGGGCCCTGCAGTGTTTCTGTTTACACATGCTAATCACAACCAGTTTGACCTGCGCAATGATTGTCAGTTTCGGTAATGGTTACCAAATTGGAGAAAGTTATTCATTAGACCCGCTATTCAGAAGCCAGCGAAGAAGCCCACCAGCAAATGAGAAGAATAGAGGAAAAAATCGGAGGTTCAATCAAACACCCCAAGCCATCAGTGGAACAAAATTGAAAAGTTCACCACTTGGTAAGATATCAAGCAGGAAAATTTCAGAAAGTTGCTCACCAATCTCCTGCAATTGGAAGAGTTTCGTCGACTATTTGAAAATTCCGGAACCATATCTTCAGATCTGGCGTCACAGAGAAAGAGAACACGTGATCGAAGAATGGCTGGCTGCGCGGATGCGTAATAACTTCGTATGTCTGAGAGCGATTGTATAGGATACCGTTAAGCAATAAAAAAAAAACAGAATGACGCGGAGCGATAGCAACAGAAAAATTCAAGGCTACACAAATATAAGGATAAAAATAAAGCATGGGCGAGGCGATGTAGTGGCAAGTGTGCCTATAACGGCATCAGACTAGCTAGGCCTCGAACCCCGGCCTAAATACCGTTCAGGCCAACCAAAACGTCTCTCCCTTCAAAGTTTCTGCAATCGCAGCGATAGCACGATTTGATGAGTACGAGCGGACGAACGACAATTGCCTACTTCACGCTCTCAGTCAGAGGTGCGATCGGGCGATCGGTGTAACTGAACTGCAGGTCCCGTCCTAGTTTCATGATTTTCAAGTGAAGAAAATCAAACTGGCTGGTTAATCACCGATATGTTACTCGGAATTTATTTCTCCGTAAAAATAATATTACTTTTGGTCTCCAGTTCCCATATCGCTACAAACTGCTTTGCATTTCTCTTCAAGCTTTTTCGAGCAGTAATTATTTTGAAACAAAAAAATGCCCAAAGGCGCAAAGAAAACAACCAATCCAGCACGCTTCTTAGGGCATGCGAAGCCTCAATCAAGGTTACCAATCACTTAACGCAACGATAAATGGATAAAAAGGAAGTTCATGTAAAGTAATGCACGCGAAATGTTATAAAACACAAGAGGGGGGGGTAGGGGGAGGACACACAAAATTTATTTCAAAAGAGTCCCAAAAGTTCGCAAAATATTCAAAAAACTCCAAAATTCCAAAAAACACGAAAAAGTTTCAAAAGAACTCCTTTGAAATCTTCTGCTATATTTCGGTGTTTAACACCTTCTTCAGGCCTGAAATACATTGATTTAATCACTGGTAAAAACAATATGATTGTTTCCCGAACCCATATATGTACCTACATGTGTATGCCTCAGCCAAGGATTTAGCTGCCCTTACGGGAGCCGCGCCGTTGGAGTGGAATTAAGTGACCTACCGCTCACCCTCTGCTTAAATAGTAGCGGACGGACTGTGACGGTCATTGCATGTGATATTGAAAAACCATATGCCATTGGGCACGTAGTTAATTTAATAGTTGTAGAGCGTCACGTAGTTCGTCCTTACTATTTATTTCGGGTGATAGTTTTCTTATTTCTAATGCCTCCAATAGCCTCCTTTCCACCGGGTTCCCTATAGAGCGGTGTAGCACCTTAATGGTCAACGAAGGCGGTTCCCCAAATGTGTGCTTTGTGGTGCGGTGCTTGGAGAAGCTGCTGTTTGGATACGAGGCTGGGTTTTGTAATGCCCTTCTGTGTTCATCCAAACGCTTTTTAAAAAGGGCCTTTTTGTTTCCCCAACGTACTTTTGTCCGCATCCTTGGCATTCTATCAAATATACGGTACCCCTCAATTGGCAAATTTTATTGTCGTTGCAGTATGCACAATTCCTTCCTGCCACATTTTTCTTCATATGGTCTTGAATAGGTGAGTAGATGTTTGAGATTAGGCGGTGGACGAAATATAAGGCGTATGGGGAGCTTTGACCTTTTGACCACACCATTAACTTTTTGTGCCGTACTCTCGTTCAGATACGGCATTACCATAGGAACACCATCTGGTGTTGAGTGTGGTCTCCATGTGCCAATATTGTGAACATGTGTACTTATGTAGCCATTGTCCCTCAAGATTTGGTCCACCGCGACATCTACTTCTTCCCATCTTTGTGTGCATACTTTTTCTTTTGTTTTTAATAAATTGCGAACTACGTTCGCTTTCATATATGAGGGGTGACAGCTTCTGGCATGTAGTAGTACATTTTTTGACGCTGGCGTCAAAAAATGTACTACTACATGCCAGAAGCTGTCACCCCTCATATATGAAAGCGAACGTAGTTCGCAATTTATTAAAAACAAAAGAAAAAGTATGCACACAAAGATGGGAAGAAGTAGATGTCGCGGTGGACCAAATCTGAGGGACAATGGCTACATAAGTACACATGTTCACATATTGGCACATGGAGACCACACTCAACACCAGATGGTGTTCCTATGGTAATGCCGTATCTGAACGAGAGTACGGCACAAAAAGTTAATGGTGTGGTCAAAAGGTCAAAGCTCCCCATACGCCTTATATTCCGTCCACCACCCAATCTCAGACATCTACTAACCTATTCAAGACCGTATGAAGAAAAATGTGGCAGGAGGAATTGTGCATACTGCAACGACAATAAAATTTGCCAATTGAGGGGTACCGTATATTTGATAGAATGCCAAGGATGCGGACAAAAGTACGTTGGGGAAACAAAAAGGCCTCTTTACAAGCGTTTGGATGAACACAGAAGGGCATTACAAAAACCCAGCCTCGTATCCAAACAGCAGCTTCTCCAAGCACCGCACCACAAAGCACACATTTGGGGAACCGCCTTCGTTGACCATTAAGGTGCTACACCGCTCATAGGGAACCCGGTGGAAAGGAGGCTATTGGAGGCATTAGAAATAAGAAAACTATCACCCGAAATAAATAGTAAGGACGAACTACGTGACGCTCTACAACTATTAAATTAACTACGTGCCCAATGCCATGGGTTTTTCAATATCACATGCAATGACCGTCACAGTCCGTCCGCTACTATTTAAGCAGAGGGTGAGCGGTAGGTCACTTAATTCCACTCCAACGGCGCGGCTCCCGTAAGGGCAGCTAAATCCTTGGCTGAGGCATACACATGTAGGTACATATATGGGTTCGGGAAACAATCATATTGTTTTTACCAGTGATTAAATCAATGTATTTCAGGCCTGAAGAAGGTGTTAAACACCGAAATATAGCAGAAGATTTCAAAGGAGTTCTTTTGAAACTTTTCGTGTTTTTTGGAATTTTGGAGTTTTTTGAATATTTTGCGAACTTTTGGGACTCTTTTGAAATAAATTTTGGTGCCTCTTTGTGTTTGATAACATTTAGGTCCTGATGAGGCTCCGGGACAGCACAATACTGAGTTAATGGTGACGCTGTAGAAAGACAACTGGTTTGGAAACAAGGCCAGGCCGGTACAGCCGACTATTTCACTGCAACCACAGAGTGGAAAACATTTATGCGATTTGCAATCGCGACAGCAACAGCGCTGTCGCGATTCTGGCGTGATGCCAGAGCCATGAGAAGGGATGGGCGCTCGATGAGAACCATACGGACCAATCAGACTTGACGACTGTGCAATCGCGACAGCGGCGTAGCTTTGGCGTTTGCATAATCTGTTGCTGTCGCACTTGCACATTCGTTAAGCCTGACATCCACTTTGCCGGCCTGAGGCTTCAAATCATGAAATTATCAGGAGAAAGTGGAGGAATTAATCAGTTCGATTTGAGAGTAATATTTTAGGCCTGATTTGTTCATAAACCTACAAAAGGTGAGAAAGTTCATCATGTTGCGTTGAAGATAACCATTCCTTAATTTCATTCTAATCCTTCGAAATCGATTTACTACTCCCTTCCTTTTCCCTTAAGCATGACTATGAACAAATACGAAAACATCACAGGCCACTGAAGGGAATCGATGCCGCAAAATGAACGACGGGGAACGCGATTCGTGCATAAGTTCTACTTCCGCGGCAATGGAATAAAGAATGAGATTCATTACAACATAATCAAAGCCAAGCTTCAGAGTGCAGGAATTCTACAAGGAAGAAGGCATAGCAAACATGAAAACTAAGCTGATACCTGCATAAGAGCATGCTTTATGAGCGTCAAATGCGGCTCTTCATCAAATCGACTATCAAATGAAAGAATTGGGCGGGAAGCCTAAAAGCAAAAACATGAAGATACATAGAGTAACGGGAGCTCAGCCATTCAAATCCATATCAATATATTACCTTTAAACAATTACCAGACAATTTCATTTCCATCATTGTATGCATATTATGCACAAGAAATTTTACGGAAGGACCATTATCAACATTACTCATCCATAGATAAACGTCCTAAAATAATATTACAGGAAGTTTCAAAAGCTTCATGCAAGCGTTATGTAGAATTACCTTGTGCTTCCGACTTTCAAAATATAGGACTTTCGTGCAGTTTTTCATCTCGGCAATTTCATTGATGACAACCAAAGACTTCTGCTTATCAAGTTTTGAATCCCCTTTTGCATGAGGCAATAAAACCTGAAAAAAGGAGGGTCTCATACCCTTCCCGTTCTTGAACCACTGATCTAATCTCTTATCTTTGTTCACTGACAGCTCTAGAAGAAATCAAAAGCAAATATTCTGACACTTTAGCTAACCTTAATGTCATTCATCAAATGCCTCGTGCGAACGTCAGCACCACGAGAACAAAGAACCAACACTCGCTCTCGATTCGTCCACAGAAGAGCTCGCTTCTTCTCCTCGGCTTTCTCTTCGACCGTCTAAAAACACTTTTGTGAGGACGAATTTGGAGAATGACCAACATTTACGGCAGCTGTTGAAATATCGACGCGTTTCCCATTCTTAGTTCCGTCGTGAAGGCTAGACGGCTCATCACCGTGCACATGTGAGCACTGATGAGGCAAGGTAAATAAAATATTGAAGGTGAGTTAAGGCGAAGTGATGTCCCGGTAGTGTAAATGGCTCGGTAAGCGGTATGGCTTTGATTTCCACCTGGGGCGAATGCTTCCCCATAACTTAGCATCCTTGAGAAGATTTAAGGTAATCATTCGTATCTAAAGGATTTTTCTTGGAAGCTCACCGACTCCTCGCTCATTGCCTAAGTTGATCGTGCACAACTTAAACTGCATGGGAGGCGGAGTTCGTTAGGAATCACGTGCACGAACTCGCCTCGTGAATGCATTTACAAACCACTAATTGAGGGAAGGGAGAGGAGGGAGGAGAGAAGCGCGCGGCGTCAACAGCTAGACCCAGCATCTTGGGGTCCAATAGTGGAGATTAGAATCACAACTCGCCCAATCTTGTAGGTGTTATAAATGGCAGGGATCGCCAGGCCGATGTCATAGTTTGCGAATCGAGCGATTCGCTAGCGAATCGCTGGATCCGAGCGTTGCGCCAGCGAATCGAACGTTGCACCAGCGAATCGAACTTTGCGCCAGCGAATCGAACTTTGCGCCAGCGAGTCGAACTATGTACCAGCGAGTCGAACTACGTACCAGCGACTCAACACTGATTGGAAGTGGGGTGGGACCCAACGTTTCAAAGGAAGTCCGCCACTTTCAAACAGTGTGGTCCTTTGAAGTGGACTTCCTTCAAACGTTGGGTCCCGCCACTTTCAAACAGTGTCGAGTCGCTGGTACATCGTTCGACTCGCTGGTGCATCGTTCGATTCGCTGGCGCAAAGTTCGATTCGCTGGTGCAACGTTCGATTCGCTGGCGCAACGCTCGGATCCAGCGATTCGCTAGCGAATCGCTCGATTCGCAAACTATGACATTGGCCTTAAAGATAACAAACACACCTCTGAATGTAAGTAATTAAAATACTATGATTACAAAATGAGATGGGTTCTTTGAAAACAGCGCCACTTCCGAATATTTAGAATTGCAGAAATGAACGGACGAGACCACTCACCATTCCCTCGTCTTCAGAAGTCTCCTCATCAGTGGCAGTTCCTTCCTCCTCTCCGCTGTCCACTTCCATTTTCTCTTCTTTAGCCAATTCTCGGAGCTTTTTGAACTTCCCCATTTGCTGAACTACAATTGAAAAAGGAAACTTTATGGCAAATCCTTCCAGCGACAATCCCTCAGACTGTCTATAAGCATGATATGCGAAAGAATAGGTAAAGAAAAACACGCATCCATTCACACGCGATAGAATGTCAGAGATGCCGGTAAATGAAAAAGGTTGTCCGCAAACTGGTTTTCACGCCAATCTGCAGACGCCATATTGGGTTCGTTTTGGCAGTTTTCGTTTCAGGCGTTTTCGTGTTGGCAGCATGTTGGCATACTTCTCATGTTCTGCTTGTTGATTTCATTCTAGTTTACTAGTAATCGTTATCCGTGAACGGTGGATGGTTTGGACTCGCGTGTTCACGATTCGGGCTTCTAAAACTACGCGCTCACCAGGTGATTTTAAGTGAAGGTCTATCCACGTTTCCTAGAGATTTTTGGCTTCGTGGCTTCTTCATATTCTTGACATTGTCCCAAAATTGCTGTTGTTTTCTGGAAACATCGTCTTTTTACCTCTGCTACCTACTCTACACTGCTCCATTGTTCGATACCTTAAAATGCATGCTGCAAAAGCACGTGAGAAATGAATTCTCATTTCCACTTACGTCTGTCGTCTCATGACAGCTGAAACTCTCTTAGAAAATCAGCAGAGCAGCTAATCAGTGCTGGCGGTCTAGCTTTGAAGCTCCTCCGTGTTAATCTGTGGGCTATTTTACGGGACTTATACATATTAAACACATTAGTTTCCCACAACGCTATGTTTTCCAGCGTCCTTTGTGTCTTTGCCCTCCATTTGAAAGAAAAACGCGTGAAACTGATCCTGGAGGTAATGTTTCCCAGTGGCTGCTGATATGCGGCTCTGCATCCTACTAATCCTCTTCCCCTGATTTTCATAGAAAGGAATCTAGAAATTAAAGGAACTCGTCGCCTTAAATTCCCTGGAGACGAATAGTGAAGTTACTTTGTGGGGAGTACCCAATGAGCCGATAGTTCACTTCAGGGGCTGTGGTCTTATCAGTGGTAATTTATGGCACTGGAGCGAGTTTCCGGAACTCAGCACCACCTACATTCGGGCTTAAAAAGGGGCTGTAAC